ATGGAATCTCCTCTCTTGTAGTTTGAAGCCATTGTTCCGCGCCCTAGTCTCCAAGGAAGCAGAAAACAAGCTTTGCTCCCTCCTCCCTGTGGCTTCCTCTCACATATTTATACATGGCTATCATATCTCCTCTCAGCCTTCTCTTCTTCAGGCTAACATGCCCAGCTCCTTAAGCCGCTCCTCATAGGGCTTGTTCTCCAGACCCTTGATCATTTTAGTCGCCCTCCTCTGGACACATTCCAGCTTGTCAATATCTCTCTTGAATTGTGGTGCCCAGAATTGGACACAATATTCCAGATGTGGTCTAACCAAAGCAGAATAGAGGGGAAGCATTACTTCCTTAGATCTAGACACTATGCTCCTATTGATGCAGGCCAAAATCCCATTGGCTTTTTTTGCCGCCACATCACATTGTTGGCTCATGTTTAACTTGTTGTCCGGTAGGCGGTTGGGAATTGTGGGAGTTGAAGTCCAAAATACCAAGAGGGCCCAAGCTGGCCCAGGCCTGGTTCATACCTTTTTTTTTTCCTCAGGCGAATCTTGGGTGTCTACTAAAGAAATAATGATAGGTCTCTTCCCCGTCAGAGACCTCAAGGCCGAACTCTAGCGAGGCTTGTTTTCCTCCGGGTAGGCCTCAAAGGCGGCGGCCCCGCCCCCCTCCCCTCTCCGCTCACCTGGAGCCGGACGTTGAGCATCATGGAGGCCACGACGTAGAGGTAAGGGAAGTTGATGCGGAGCTTCCAGGCCAAGTCGAAGAAGATGAGCAGCGTCCGCGTGAGGCCCTTGCAGAAGACCCCGTAGGAGCGCGCGGCCACGGACTGGGAGAGCCGGGCGGACAGCGCGGAGAAGAGCGCCGCCGCCGCCACCGCAGCCATCGACGCGCCGCCCGGGCCCCGCCCCCCGCAGGAGCCCGGATGTCAACGCAAGGAGCAACAGCAGCAGCAGGAGGAGGAGGGAGAGAAGGAAAACAACCACAGAGGAAGGAAGGGGGCGCTCGCGGGCTAGGAACGTCGGTTCCGCAAACTCGCCTCGTTGACGTCACCACGCACGTCCCGCCCCCAGCATGCATCTTGACCAATCGCTGCTTCGCCTTCCTCCAATGGCACCGCCCCCAGTTTGGCGCCTAAAGTCTCCTTCCTCCTTGAAGCACGTGTCGCTTGCATGAAGTGGCCCGTTTGCAGCTTATTTATTTATTATTTATTTATTTACTATGCTTATATACCGCTGTATCTCAAGCCCGAAGGCGACTCACAGCGGTTCACAAACAGAAAGACAATAAAAACAGCAATAGTTTCATACAACAATGACAGTTAACTTACACATTTTCCATTAATAGCTAATGTTGTTGTTGTTCATTCGTTCAGTCGTCTCCGACTCTTCGTGACCTCATGGATCGGCCTACGCCAGAGCTCCCTGTCGGCCGTTACCACCCCCAGCTCCCTCAAGGTCAGTCCAGTCACTTCAAGGATGCCATCCATCCATCTTGCCCTTGGTCGGCCCCTCTTCCTTTTGCCTTCCACTTTCCCCAGCATAATTGTCTTCTCTAGGCTTTGCTGTCTCCTCATGATGTGGCCAAAAGTACTTCAACTTTGTCTCTAGTATCCTTCCCTCCAGTGAGCAGTCGGGCTTTATTTCCTGGAGGATGGACTGGTTGGATCTTCTCGCAGTCCAAGGCACTCTCAGGACTTTCCTCCAACACCACAGCTCAAAAGCATCGATCTTCCTTCGCTCAGCCTTCCCTAAGGTCCAGCTCTCACATCCGTAGGTTACTACAGGGAATACCATGGCTTTGACTAGGCGGATCTTTGTTGCCAGTCTGATGTCTCTACTCTTTACTATTTTATCGAGACTGGACATTGCTCTCCTCCCAAGAAGGAAGAGTCTTCTGATTTCCTGGCCACAGTCTGCATCTGCAGTTATCTTTGCGCCTAGAAATACAAAGTCTGTCACGGCTCCACGTTTTCTCCCTCTATTTCCCAGTTGTCAATCATTCTTGTTGCCATAATCTTGGTTTTTTTGACGTTTAGCTGCAACCCGGCTTTTGCGCTTTCTTCTTTCACCTTGATTAGAAGGCTCCTCAGCTCCTCCTCGCTTTCGGCCATCAGTGGTGTCATCTGCATATCTGAGGTTGTTAATGTTTCTTCCAGCAATTTTCACCCCAGCTTTGCATTCATCAAGCCCCGCACATCGCATGATGTGTTCTGCATACAAGTTACAAAGGTTGGGTGAGAGGATGCAGCCTTGCCGTACGCCTTTCCCAATCTTGAACCAGTCTGTTGTTCCGTGGTCAGTTCTGACTGTTGCTACTTGGTCCTTGTACAGATTCCTCAGGAGAGAGACAAGGTGGCTTGGTATGCCCATCCCAACAAGAACTTGCCACAATTTATTATGATCCACACAGTCAAAGGCTTTAGAATAGTCAATGAAGCAGAAGTAGATGTTTTTCTGAAACTCCCTGCCTTTCTCCATTATCCAGCGGATATTGGCAATTTGGTCTCTCATAGCTAATAAGCAATCCCAATACACAACCATTACAAAAAACCCATACCCAATCGCCTCATCCTCCATGCATGATCCAAGTTCGTCGTCCATTGTTCCATTCCTATGTTCGGTTACCAGATTGCACTAAATTACTCAAACGCCTGCACAAACATCCAGGTCTTCAACTTTCTTCGGAATGCCATAAGAGATGGTGCCAACCTAATGTCTGTAGGAAGGGCATTCCACAGCCGAGGAGCCACCACCGAGAAGGCCCTATCTCTCGTCCCTGCCAACCGTGTTTGGGAGGCCGGCGGGATCGAGAGCAGGGCCTCCCCGGAAGATCTCAAAGTCCTGGTGGGTTCATAGGCCGAGATGCGGTCAGATAGGTATCTTGGGCCGGAACCGTTTAGGGCTTTATAGGCCAATACCAACACCTTGAATTGAGCCCGGTAGCAAATCGGCAGCCAGTGGAGCTGGCGCAACAGGGGGGTTGTGTGCTCCCTGCGCTCCGCTCCTGTTAGAATCATGGCTGCCGCGCGTTGGACTAATTGCAGCTTCCGGGCCATCTTCTTATTAATATTATTTTTATGAATATGAATATGAATAAGAAGAATTATAATAATAGGGTTGTTGTAGGTTTTTCCAGGCTATATGGCCATGTTCTGGAGGCAATTTTTCTCCTGACGTTTCGCCTGCATCTATGCAAGCATCCTCAGAGGTAGTGAGGTCTGTTGGAATTAGGACAATGGGTTTATATATCTGTGGAATGGCTGGGGTGGGGCAAAGAGCTTTTCTCTGCTGGAGCTAGGTGTGAATGTTTCAGCTGACCACCTTCATTAGCATTTGAAGGCTTGGCTGAGCCTGGGAAAATGTTCTGTTGAGAGGTGTTAAGATGTGCCTGGTTGTTTCTTCTCTGCTGTTTTGCTGTAATTTTAGAGTTTTTTAATACTGGTAGCCAGATTTTGTTCATTTTCATGGTCTCCTCCTTTCTGTTGAAATTGTCCACATGCTTGTGGATTTCAATGGCTTCTCTGTGTAGTCTGACATGGTGGTTGTTGGAGTGGTCCAGCATTTCTGTGTTCTCAAATAATATGCTTATAATTATAATTATAATTATTTGATGAATGCAAAGCTGGGGTGAAAATTGCTGGAAGAAACATTAACAACCTCAGATATGCAGATGACACCACTCTGATGGCCAGAAAGCGAGGAGGAGCTGAGGAGCCTTCTAATCAAGGTGAAAGAAGAAAGCGCAAAAGCCGGGTTGCAGCTAAACATCAAAAAAAACCAAGATTATGGCAACAAGAATGACTGACAACTGGAAAATAGAGGGAGAAAATGTGGAGGCCGTGACAGACTTTGTATTTCTAGGTGCAAAGATTACTGCAGATGCAGACTGTGGCCAGGAAATCAGAAGACGCTTACTTCTTGGGAGGAGAGCAATGTCCAGTCTCGATAAAATAGTAAAGAGTAGAGACATCAAACTGGCAACAAAGATCCGCCTAGTCAAAGCCATGGTATTCCCTGTAGTAACCTACGGATGTGAGAGCTGGACCTTAGGGAAGGCTGAGCGAAGGAAGATCGATGCTTTTGAGCTGTGGTGTTGGAGGAAAGTTCTGAGAGTGCCTTGGACTGCGAGAAGATCCAACCAGTCCATCCTCCAGGAAATAAAGCCCGGCTGCTCACTGGAGGGAAGGATACTAGAGACAAAGTTGAAGTCCTTTGGCCACATCATGAGGAGACAGCAAAGCCTAGAGAAGACAATTATGCTGGGGAAAGTGGAAGGCAAAAGGAAGAGGGGCCGACCAAGGGCAAGATGGATGGATGGCATCCTTGAGGTGACTGGACTGACCTTGAAGGAGCTGGGGGTGGTGACGGCCCACAGGGAGCTCTGGCGTGGGCTGGTCCATGAGGTCACGAAGAGTCGGAGACGACTGAACAAATGAACAACAACAACAACAACAACTATTATTATTATGAATATGAATAAGAAGAATTATAATAATATATTACCCGCCTTAGATATGCAGATGATACATAATCCATGAGGTTACGAAGAGTTGGAAGCAACTGAATGAATGAACAACAAATTACCCTCCTATCCTGATAGTTTGAGGCAGATTACAACGAAGTCATAATAATAATAATAATAATAATAATAATAATAATAATAATTTATTACCCACCTCTCCTCATAGCTTGAGGTAGATTAGAACAAAGTCACATTAATAATAATAATAATTTATTACCCACCTCTCCTAATAATTTGAGGCGGATTACAAAATAATAATTTATTACCTGCCTCTCATAGCTTGAGGTGGGTTCCAATAAAAAAAAAAGAAAAATAATAATTTTATACCCGCTCCTCCTGATAGCTTGAGGCAGGTTACATCAGTCATAATAATTTATTACCCGCTGCTCTTGATAACTTTAGGCAGATTACAACAAAGTCATAATAATAATAATAATAATAATAATAATAATAATAATTTATTACCTGCCTCTCCTGATAACTGTAGGCAGTTTACAACAGTCATAATAACCATAATAGTAATTTATTACCCACCTCTCCTGATACCTTGAGGCAGGTTACAAAATAATAATAATAATAATAATACACTGGCAGATTATGTGAAAAGCTGTCAAGAACCAACATTGATGGAAGTCAATTGTAGAAAACTGAGTAAAGTGCAAAAGACAAAGAGCGTATAACGTAATAATACAATGCAGAGCCAAAAAGAAAACTGGCAAAAGAAGGTTCTCCAGGAACAGTTCCTGGGAAAAACTGAGAGCAAAATGGACAAAGAAAAAACATGAATGTGGCTCACAAATTTAAGTTTGAAAAAGGAGATGGAGGGCCTGATTCTTGCAGCCCAAGAACAAGCCATCAGAACCGGAAATCAACAACAGATTCCAAGGAAGCAGGCAAAACGATGGATCACATACTCTGCTGCTGCAAGAAGATTGCGTAGATGGACTACAAGCAGAGGCATAACACCATTGCTCAGATGATCTATCAGATGATCCACAAAAGCACAAAAAGAGGCTCACAGCCAAGCTGTAAATAATATCCCATTTAAAGTCCAGTTCATGTCACCAAGTTACTGCATATGTTGCCTAGGGTTTGCTTTCTCCTTTTAATTTGTGTCTTTCTACATAAAGAACAGTGGCTGGCACCTTTAGGGCTTTTTTAAAAACTGAGCTTTTGTGATATCAGTTCACTTTTTCAGAGGCGTTGATGGAAAACAGTCTTGCAGCCACAAGGGCTTTAGCACAGCGACAGGGCTTTTGGGATAGATTAGAGTGGAAACAGGTGGTAAAATATAAAGATAAAGGTTTCCCCTGGCATTAAGTCTAGTCATGTTTGACTCTGGGGGGTGGTGCTCATTTCCATTTCTAAGCTGAAGACCCAGCATTGTCCGTAGACATCACCTAGGTCATGTGGCCAGCATGACTGTATGGAGTGTCGTTACCTTCCCGCAGAAGCGTTACCTATTAATCTACTCACATTTGCATGCTTTCGAACTGCTAGGTTGGCAGAAGCTAGGGCTAACAGCAGGAGCTCGCTCCACTCCCTGGATTCGAACCACCAACCTTTTGGTCAGCAGGTTCAATTACCTGGCAGTTTAACTCAATGTGCCACCAGGGGAAACAGATGGAGCTTTATACAAATTGCTTTTAAAAATAATAACACATTATTAAGCAATATGTTAAGTAATAACGATACTACTCTCCCAACATTTGCAGAACTGATATCCAGGGTTTCACTTCATGATTTCACTTACCATATTCACTTGGGGGCTTCTGTACGAGCTGTTAATCCCAATGAAAACACTAGCCAACACACATTTTGGTGTCTCAAGTGTTAGTCTTGTTTAGTATATTTGACCTGCTGAGTCCCAAAATTGCACCAGTTTTCCCTTTTCAGCTCTAGTGTTTTAGACACAGTTAAACCTCGACTTAAGAGTGTCCCAATTTAAGAGCATTTTGAGTTAAGAAATCACGAAGTCGGAAGAGACTCCAAAGACCGACAGTCATGCAAATGTTCAGGTCTGAGGAAAAATGCAAAGCATACTTTAAAAACAGAACCAGGGGATGTTGTGTGGTTTTTGTGTACTTTAAATAGTTCTAATGGTTTTTAATTCTGGGTTGCTGTGAGTTTTCTGGGCTGAACGTTCCAGAAACATTATCTCCTGATGTCCTGAAGATAATACTTCTGGAACATGGTCATACAGCCCAGAAAACTCACAGCAACCCAGTGATTCTGGCCATGAATGCACATTTTAAATTCTTTGTAACTATTCATTTTAAGTAGTTCTAGTTTTAATTCTGTTTTCGTGTTTATAATCTTTATGTCTTCGATTTAATATTGCATTGTTTTTGCACTGTTTACTTAGTACTATTTAAGAAAACAAAACAAAACAAAAAATAAAAAGGGTGGGGGTGTTATATTAATCACCAGGAGTATTGCTGCTCTGATCTTTTATAGTCTCTGTTGTTCTGTCTCAAATTTTCCAGAATGACATCAGCATGAGTCTTCTTGCACTCCACACCCACATACAGTAATTATGCTGCTCTCCTGCCAAGATACACAATACAAAGCCAATATAAAACTGAACTTCCTCCTTCATATCTAAGCACAGTGGTTGCTATGGCAAATCCCGTGGAGCCCGGGCTTCAGATCAGATTTAATATGCATAACAGTAGCAATCAATATGTGGCTCTCTAGATTAGTTTTCCAAACTTTTAATGTTAGTGATACACTTTTTACACGCGCATCCTTTCATAACACAGTAATTCAGTTTTACTGACAAACGAGCTTAAACCAACCCTTTCTAAGAGTTTAATGCAAAAGATAAATAAATATAAATAAAAATGTAAATGTCTGTTTGTAAATGACCTCAAATCTCCCAAAATATTTCACCGATTGTTTTGAAATTTGGACACAATGTAGCATTCGAACAGTCAAATGTTTTTATGTATTCATATACCTATTATTATATAGATGTCACACCTATGACAGGTAAAAACATGCTTGGCATCAAAAACAGTGCCATCTACTGGACATCCAAAGCAACATATTGTGAAGCGACCTCATCAGGGCTGGAGCCGCCATTAGGGATCCGCGGTCTGGTTACCCCACACCGAGCCTTCCTTCCTTCCACTGGAGCAGAAGCAGGAGAAGAAGAGCTGGAAAAGAGTGGCAGAACAGGTAGGGAAGTCCAGTCCAGGGAGAGGAGCGGGGCAAGGGCCCAGGGGAGGGAGGCAATTAGGCAGGCCCAACCTAAGCCCCGGGCTCCCGTAGTCTCATGCCCTGCCCAGCCTTGCCTTGCACCGCCTCACACCCGTGTCTCCAGGAAGACAGGAGGTTCAGAAGAAAGGAAGGATTGAATGGTAGGCTTGATTCTCCTGAAAGCCATCTGTGCTTGGTGCTTGGCTCTCCTCCTGATTCGCTTCACCCTTCCCCTGCCTCGGGGTCAGAAGGAAAGAAGGATTGAATTGTAGGGAGAGATAGATAGGAAGGAATGGAAGAGTTTCCCCAAAACACACTGATTATTATTATATAGACCAGTATCATTGTTATTATCGGTATCATATACACCAGTATTATTATTATTATATAGATATGGGCCAGTATTATTGTTATTTACACCACTATTATTATTTTTTAGACAATGGAACAATAATATTATATACCCATATACAATACCGTATACTAATTTACCTGTCCGAACACATCTCCCCCTATGAACCATCGCAGAGATTAAGTTCCTCTGGGGAGGCCCTACTCTCTGTCCCGCCATTGTCACAGGTGCGATTGGTGGGGATGAGAGACAGGGCCTTCTCGGTGTTTGCCCCCCACCTATGGAACTCCCTTCCTGGTGAGATCAGATCGGCCCCCTCTCTCCTGTCCTTCAGAAGGATGGTCAAAACTTGGCTGTGGGACCAAGCTTTTGGGGCAGTGCAATAAGGTAGTGATAGAAAACTACCAGGCCTATTTAGATTTGATGCAGATGACCAAGACGGTTTTAAACAGTGTATTTTAATATTTTGATAAATGTTTTTAATGTTTATGCATATTCATATGAATTCTTGTCCTGGCATTGAATGTTTGCCATGTATATGCTGTGCTCTGCCTCCCCCCGAACATTCCTGGCACAGAAAACGCACGGAGGCCGATTTCTTCCGAACATTGACGAACGCCGCCTAAGGCCAGGATCGGCCTGAACGGAGGAGAGGCGATGGCTTCCGGATCTGTCCGACCTTTTCCGAAGGCCTTCGTCGAGAGGGCGGGGCTTAAACGAAGGGGAACCGAGCGCTCACGAAGCTCCCTCGCCCCTCCTCGGCGGAGTTTGAATCGCAGCCTGGAAGACTAGGCCGGAAAGTGGGGCTCGAGTCCGGAAGTGAGCGGGGCGGCCGCTTCCTGTTTCCTGTCGGGCGCCACACTCCTCCGCCTCGCGTTTAGGGTGGTGGCCGTTCCCTCAGCAGGGCTCTCGGCGGTTATTTCCCCCCCTCAGCTGAGGCCCACACGCTTTTCGACGAAGCCTGACAGAGAGCCGCCCCGATGCAGGCCATCAAGTGTGTGGTGGTGGGAGACGGGTAAGGGCCTTCTCTTTTCTTCTCTACTCGAGCTGGGTGGCCATCTGTCGGGGTTGCTTTGATTGTGCTTTCTCAGCATGGCAAAATAGGGTTGGACTAGATGACCCTTGGGGGTCTCTTCCAACTCTCTGATTCGCCCATTGAGAAAAATGAGGGGGTTGTTGTTATGACTATTGGTTGAGTTTCCCCTCAGTGGTTGAGGCCAAAAGTGTTTTGGATTTCGGATTTTCCCCATACTTTGGCCCCTTCCTCTCAGCTGAATAAAATCCCACGTTTTCTGCTTTGAACTGGGTTATATTTATTATTTATTTATTTACTTTGCTTATATACCGCTGTTCTCAGCCCGAGGGCGACTCACAGCGGTGTACAACATAGAAAGGACAAGGTTCAAAATTCAAGACACAATCTAAAATATCAKTCTAGCAATAACCAAAACATCATCATCAAAAACATCAACAATATKAATAATACAAAAAGCCATTCGCGCCATCTCATCGTTTAAGCCACAATCCAGTATCATTTTCCGTTGTTCCATTCCTGTCGTCATTACCAYTTATTGCACTTCTTGTTCGAACGCCTTCTTGAACAGCCAAGTTTTTAATTTCCTGRGGAATATCATRAGGGAAGGAGCCAGTCTGATGTRCACGGGAAGGGTGTTCCACAGCCGAGGAGCCACCACCGAGAAGGCRCTGTCTCTRGTCCCCGCCAGGCGTGCCTGTGAGGCAGGCGGGATCGAGAGCAGGGCCTCCCCGGACAATCTCAAAGTCCTCGTGGGCTCGTAGGCCGAGATGCAGTCAGATAGGTATCTTGGGCCGGAACCGTTTAGGGCTTTATAGGCCAATGCCAGCACCTTGAATTGAGCCCGGTAGCAAATCAAATGTTCTGCTTTGAACTGGGTTATATGGCAGTGTGGACTCGGAAAACCCAGTTCAAAGTAGATKTTATGGGATTTTCTGTCTTTATAATCTGGGTTTCTATGGCTGTATGGTAAGGTCCTTTGTTGTTTTYTTATGGAACATTGTAACTGTGCTTTTACAGTAGGCATGGGCAAACATGGGCCCTCCAGATGTTTTGGAGGGCTCAAAACCACAATTCCTAACAGCCACTTAGGCAGAGCAAATGAAATGCAAAGATACATAATAATAACAATAATAATAATAATAACAACACTTTATTTATACCCCGCTACCATCTCCCCAAGGGACTTGGTGCGGTTTACATGAGGCCGAGCCCAGAATACAACAGTACAAGCAATAACAACAACAGTACAAGCAATTTAAAAACAAACAGGACAATAAAACAATAGCATAAGCATTAACAATAGGACAACACACTTTAAAATCTATGGGTAGGCCAAATGTAATTAAAATTAAAATAATTCTGGACATGGGCGAAAAAAGTGATGGGCAGTTTGTGGATGCTTGGCTTGAGAGCAGTATGTGTGAAAAAGATCTTGAGGTCCTCGTGGACAACGAGTTAAACATGAGCCAACAATGTGATGCGGCGGCAAAAAAAGCCAATGGGATTTTGGCCTGCATCAATAGGAGTCTAATGTCTAGATTCAGGGAAGTCATGCTTCCCTCTATTCTGCCTTAGTTAGACCACACCTGGAATATTGTGTCCAGTTCTGGGCACCACAATTGAAGAGAGATCTTGACAAGCTGGAATGTGTCCAGAGAAAGGGCGACTAAAATGATCAAGGGTCTGGAGAACAAGCCCTATGAGGAGCGGCTTAAGGAGCTGTACATGTTTAGCCTGAAGAAGAGAAGGCTGAGAGGAGACATGATAGCCATGTATAAATACATGAGAGGAAGTCATAGGGAGGAGGGAGCAAGCTTGTTTTCTTCTGCCCTGGAGTCTAGGACGTGGAACAATGGCTTTAAACTACAAGAAAGCAGATTCCATTTGAACATTAGGAAGAACTTCTTGACTGTGAGAGCCATTCAGCAGTGGAACTCTCTGCCCCGGAGTGTGGTGGAGGCTCCTTCTTTGGAAGTTTTTAAACAGAGGTTGGATGGCCATCTGTCGGGGGTGCTTTGAATGCAATATTCCTGCTTCTTGGCCAGGGGTTGGACTGGATGGCCCTTGAGGTCTCTTCCAACTCAATGATTCTAAGTCCAAAACACCCGGAGGGCCCAAATTTGCCCATGCCTGTTTTACAGATTTTATGTCATTCGTGCCAGCAGTTGGGGCTTGGAATACTTGTCCTCCACTCTCATTAGTACATATGTCAAGAAGAGCGTCTGGTTTTGAAAATTATTTCTCTTTATAGATTTCCTCACAGTATGTAAGTTTGTGTATATATACAAGCAGTCCCCAAATTACGAATAGGATCGATTCTATGGTTTTGTTCTTAAGTTGAAATTTGTATGCAAGTCGGAACAGGGAAATTTTAAAGCAGGCCTAGGCAAATTTGGACCCTCCATGTGTTTTGGACTTCAACTCCCGCAATTCGCTGTTAGGAATTGTGGGAGTTGAAGTCCAAAACAGATGGAGGGCCCAAGTTTGCCCAGGCCTGCTTTAAAGTAACTCCAGCCAAATATATGTACACATTAGCTTTGGATTGTATAGGGGTTAGCACCCCTGTGCCATTTCTTTACTATCTGAGCTCTGTTCAAAAGATTTCCCCTCTCTTTCTGTTCCTCTGAGAATTGGATTTTGAAAAAAAAAATTGTATTGGAGATAAAGCTTGAGTGGAAACCCCTTTTTGCCATGATAATAACTTCCAGGAGTGGATTTCCCTTCTTAAAGGTAGATTTCTCCCACTTTCTGTTGTCTCAGACCCCATCTTAACTAGGAATTGTTTGTAAGTAAGTGTACTTGCCCTCCCACATTTGTGGAGGGAGGGGGACAGAAGTCTTCAGGGGTCTGTTTTCATATTGCATTCAGCAATTCATATTGCATCCAGCAATGTCTGTGTTAAGTCTTTTATAATGATAAATATAATAAGTAGCAATTGTTTATTTTGGGGTTTTATGAATGGTTTCATTAGAAAATTTGGAAAGATCTGAGTGAAGGATAACTCCCATCATCCTGGGTCAATTTCCCCAAACACTTCCAGTATTCAGAGTTGGTCATGGTGGGCATGTGTGCCAGGTGTAGTCCAGATCCATCATCCGTTTGGTTCATGGTGCTTTCAGGATGCGGGTGAACTATAACTCCCAAAATTCAAGGTCGATTCCCTCCAAACTCCACCAGTATTCATTCTGTGTGCCAAGTGTGGTACAGATCCGTTTCTGGCGGCAGTCACAGAGTCTCTGGATGCGGAGTGAACTGAAACTCCCAAAATCCAGGGCCAACCCCCCAAACCCCTCCAGTATTTTCTGCTAGTCATTGGGGCAGGGGTCTTTGTGTGCCAAGTGTGGTCCAGGTCAGTCGTTGGTGGGCGTCACAGGCCTCTCTGGAAGTGAGAGCCAATAGGAAGCCCACAAACATATGCCACCCATATACACACACATACATCCAGTTTTAATAGATAGATAAGATATAGATGATGCTATTGTATAGTGAATAAACAACAAAAAGTAAAGCAAGTTATTAAATATTGAAACCCCTTTGGGATTTTTGTTCCATCCTGTACTTAATGAGATATCCTGGAGATGGGACCCAAGTCTAAATGCAAAATTTAGTTATTTTTATATTCACCTTCCAATCATAGCCTGAAGGTCATTTTATACACAGTATTTTAAATCTTTTAAAACAAAGTGTTCGAAGCATCAGAAAGTGAAGGTGCTGCTATTTCACTCTCCCAGGTGGACCGTTTTGGAATTCCAGATAAGTGATGCTCAAGCTGTGTTATCATTTTATGATTTTTTCCCCAATAAAAGGAATCAAGAGGTCTGGCAATGTATGTATAACTGTTCAAATTAAAAACAACATAAAAACCAAGGTGAAAAAAAACTTTAAATGCCCCCCCCTCCCCATGAAGTTTGTTTAGCTCTATAGAGGTGTATATGCTTGCTTCTTCGTGGAATGTAAATTTTTCACATTTGATTGCATGTGCCTATAAGGCATTTGTGACAGTCACGATTTCTCTCCTTTTTAACATTCAGAGGACCGCTTTGGAGTGGGTTAAGTGAGAGGGAAGGGGCCATCCAAGGCTGCTCCTGTTCATGACTCAGTAGAGACTGAGACTCCCAAGCCTTAGTCCAACACTTTAGCCATTTTGCTCATTAAATCCACCTAAACTGCTTTTTCTCATTGCCGGGAAAAGACAGAAAGGAGAAGCCATTCTTCCTCTATCCTAATTTTTAGTTGCTTTGTTTACACCTTCTGAGAATGTAAAAGTATTACTTTATTTCTCCTTTTTCAGTCTTTTAAATTTTATTTATGTACTGATCAATTGTGGATCAAGTCAAATTCTCACCAGTGTGTTCAGGAGCACTTCTTTCTGGTTAGTATGTTTAGGATTCGATCTTCAGCTGTCCCCTGCATGGGCAAGGCCCTAGGAAGTCTGTCTGTAGTCTTGAGTAAACATGTGCATGTCTTCAAAGTTTGCCACACCCATTTAGTTTCCTTTACACCATCCCTATGTCTTAGTTCAGACATTCTCAGTCTGCAGCCCTCCAGCTGTTTGGGCCTCGAACTCCCTAATTTTCTGACCAATTAACAGGTTGACTAGGACTTCTGGGAGTTGGAGGCCCATACAGCTAGAGGACCACACTTTGAGAATGCTTGTCTTGATTTTCCCTAATGCTGCTTTATTTATGTACTCATTGCATATCCTCTGTTAAGGAGTTTTATCCCCACCCCAAGTTGCTTCTATTAGGACAAACTTCTTTTTGTTTATTTAAAGTTTTAGAAGTACCATTATTGGGGGTGGGGGTGGGGGTGGTGGTGAAAAACCTGGAAACAAAATCCGAAATAAATTAGGAATCAAAATTCAACTCAATTGCAAGATCTATATTTCAGTCTCAACAACAGCAGGTCTAGACATTTGACTTAGGACTCTTCATGTTGAATCAATCACAGACCAAGGACAGGCTATGCTGTTGGGCATC